ATATATATATGTATATATATATATATATATATATATATATATATAGATATATTTTACAATTAAATGACATCTACACATGATAATGAGAAACCTTGCCCAAAATGTGGCGTAGGTAGATTTAAGCTTAGAAGCCCCCTCACCGTCCTTCCCCAATGCCTTACCACTCATTGGGGAGGGATGTATCCAATGGATGGGCAGTTCCTGGCAGAATTCCCAGATCTTGGACTGGAAAAGGAATGCCAGGTCAACAATGGGCTCCTCGGCGGGAACCCACACTTGGGATTCCTCCATTTTGGTATCCATGGCATCCACCTGTTGGCACACAACCACCCACAACCCTCGTGAGCCAAACAGCAGCATCAGCCTGATTATTTTAATCTATCATCTCTGTGAGACGAGGGCACTGGCTCCCTGACTTCTGTTGCCTGACCCCCTCCACCTCCACCTCCACCTCCACCTCCTCCTCCTCCCTCCATCAAGCCTGCAGCATGCTCTTTCTATTTCACATCATTGAAATTCAGACAGTGATGATTTGACTTTCAAATGACTTTGCAAGTGATCTTCATTACCGCGCATGCGGCGGCAGTATCGTTTAATGTGACAGACACAATAAAGCCTAGCATTCTCCTCCTCCTCCTCCTCATCTTCTCCTCCCTGCTGCATCACGATGCATCGCTTGCCATCCAAGCGCTATCAGTGAGCTTAATTTGTTGATCCTGTAGTTCATGAGCTGTAAAGTAAACTATTATTGCTTAATGATCGCGACGACATGTCAGCATTGTTTAATAGAGACATATGACAGGCACTGGCTAATGCTCTCTGCTAATACAGTACACATCTTTATTTTCATGTTGATGTAAATAAACACACAGAGTTCCAAGTCCCTCTTTAATTAGCCAGCCAGAAGAACAGTTCACTTGACAAATGTTTTTAGAAGGTGATTTTCCCTCAGTTTAAAACTTAATTGCACACTCGTTAGACTTGGATCCTGAGGCTATCGTTGGCGCAGGACTCATTCATATGGGACCGTGCACCTTGTATCCACGTTTGCCCCTGTCAGTCCTTGTTAAAAATAGACCAGTTTGAGACCTTCTGGTACCAAAAAGCTCAGAACTTCGCATATCAGGGAAGTGACACGCTTTATTTTCTCAGCCTAAATTAGTAGGTAGCAGTGGTGTATCGTCAAAGATGAAGTGATTCTATTTTGAAGGGAAAAAAAAAAATCATCATTTCAGTCGTAATGTCCCTTACTCTCCTTGCCTTGTGCCCCTCCTTTGGCTGTGAGTGATGTTCACATTATACAGTGATGTGCAATGTGTCCCACAAACCCGATGTCGCTGATATATTACATGCAGACTACTGTAGACACACCATAAACACTGTCTTATTCCACCTTTTTATTGCCTCTCTGTCTTGTAAGGTACCGATATCTTTAATATGTTGCCATCTGAGGTAGCGTCACGGCCATTACACAGATGGAAGCCTGCAAACGTGTATGACGGTGGCCTGATTTTATTTTCTAATTGTATGTAAGACGTTCGCGTTTTAGGATACATGGTAAAATTATATGCGGAGTTACTTTTTGATTAGCACCTAGTTAGTCAGAACTAACCATCCATCCATTTTCTATACTGTGAGCTTGAGTGTATTCCAGCTGACTTTAAGTGGGAGCCGTGGTATATACTGGACTGGTCGCCAGTCAATTGCAAGGCAAATACAGGCAAACAATCAGACACACTTGCATTCACGCCTATGGACAATTTAAAGTACTCCATTTAATTTTCATAAATCCTGTGCAGCACATGGAATCTTTTGGTATGGAGGGTTATGGTAAAACCCATCCATCCATCCATCCATTTTCTACCTCTTATCCAGGGTCGGGTTGTGGGGGCAGCAGCTTTAGCCGGGAAGCCCAGACTTCCCTCTCCCCAGCCACTTCTTCCAGCTCTTCCCGGGGAATCCCGAGGCGTTCCCAGACCAGCTGGGTGACATACATAGTCTCTCCAGCGTGTCCTGGGTCATCCCCGGGGGCCTCCTGCCGGTGGGACATGCCGGGAACACCTCACCAGGGAGGTGTCCAGGAGGCATCCTAATCAGATGCCCGAGCCACCTCTCGATGTGGAGGAGAAGCGGCTCGACTCTGAGCCCCTCCCGGATGACCGAGCTTTTCACCTTATCTATAAGGGAGAGCCCGGACACCCTGCGGAGAAAACCCATTTCGGCCGCTTGTATCCGGGATGTCGTTCTTTCAGTCGCGGCTCATAGCTCGTGACCATAGGTGAGGGTTGGAACGTATATCGACCGGTAAATTGAGAGCTTGGCCTTTTGGCTCAGCTCCTTGTCCGCAATGGTTATACCCGATGTTGTAATTTTGCAGACGAGCGGAGGCCGGTGGAAGTGCAAGAGGGAGGGTTGCGGCAACTGTGGGAGCGGTCGCAGCCGACTTCTTTCTTCCCCATTTAAAGCGGCCCAAAGTCTTAAATGAATCTAAGGTGCAAGTTTCTGGGATGTGAGAGGAAACTCACACAAGGGTTGAAAAATTGGGAGAAAATGCAAGGCTTAAAGGGAGAAAGTGCTTTGAGGCACATATACGACCACTAGATTACTGTGCTGCTCCGGTACCAACCAGTGTTTGCTTTCTCAAGATGAACTTGCAATAGATCCAGTGTTGTGAGTTGGCTAAATATGCCGAAGTACTGGATGTGTGCTGGATTATGGTTATGGGTTGTTGTTTAAAATCACCCGTGGACTGGCAACCCACCATATGCGCCTTGCTGCGCCGTTAAGTCGGTCAGTTCTCTGAAATTAATGTCAGAGCTGAGGAGCATTAGCAGCCCACCACTCTAATTGGACCTCTTAACCGCTCAAGCTGAGTATAAAGTAAATGGAGGTCACGGCACGTGGCTCGCAACATGACTTGGTTTTCACAGTTGAGAAACGACTGCAATAACTTGTAAGGAGGAGGTGGGTGTGGAGCTGCACCTGGGAGGGAAGTGCGTGGAAAGGTCAGCCTTTTAGCATGGGGCAGAGATTTCTAAATGCGAGTTGACAAGAACAAATTCAACATGATTACTATCTTTGGTTTATACATACTTCTCCAAAGCCCCTCCATTTGACTATTGACTAATCAGGTGTTTTTACACAAGCAACTTTATTGTTATTATTTTTTAATCAACTATTGGGCCTAAGAAATAATGATGATTTGTTTTATGTATACTCCCTGCGCATGTACGACATTCCGCCTACAGTGCCGTGGACTTAATTATGCGCCCCTTCTACTGTACTGTAATGAATTTACCCTCGCCTTCTGCTGAGAGCCAACCGGGGAAACATTGGCCATGAAACATTGTTTAAAGTGTTGTTATGTTTGCCAGAGATCAACAAATGTTTTATCATGGCACCCAGGAGCTTTACTGCACATATCTGTTTTTTTATGCGCTGTGCCAAGCCATGAATTTTAGTTGACACGTTTACAGTATATTGGCAACTCTTGCCACTATCGCTCTATGGCTGTAATAATGGCATTTCAACTCTGCACTATCAAATCCATGAAGCTACCATCATAACATTCATGAATCATGCTTCAGACATGCTTTTCTGATCCTGACTGTTTGACACCTTACGGACCATATTAGCGACAAGGTCACTGGAAAGTAAATCAGGTCCTTCAGACATTGCGGTATACAGTAATCCCTCACTCTAACATGGTTAATCTTTCACGCATTTTTTTTTTACAGTGCATATTGTTTTGCATCCTGATTGGTTGACAGTCTCCGCGCCGCATCGATGTACAGTTTGTCAATTTTTTTCCATGACAAAACTCACAATGTCGGTGAAATGTTTGGTCCAGTATTTCTTAAAACTGTCTGTTGTTTGGAAGAAAACATTCAGATTTGTGTTTATTTTGAAATGGTTGGGCCTGAAAAAAGGTTTAATCTTTGATTTCATTCAACACAGCATTGTATTGTGTACCTAATACAATAATAATAATTGTAGAAAATAAAGAGGACTACTTCATGGATTTCACGTATCATGGGTACTTTTTGGAACACAACCGCCGCGGTAAACAAAGGATTACTGTAGTAAACCACCAAATGAAAAGGTTCATATGCTGTATTTAGTATATATATATTATTCTTAATACATTAACAATACATAAGAATACTGCACAGAACCGCCTGTGGGTTGTATGTAAAGTGCTTGACAACAAATTGAGATTTTAAGATAAGATAAGAAAACCTTTATTTGTCTCACAATGGAGAAATTTGCAATCTACAGCTGCAAAATTTGGAGGGAAGAAAGTCGAAAAAAAACCATCAAATATTTGCATGCACAAATTAAAAAAAAAAGAACTGTACAGAGTACAGAATACAATGTAAAATATAAAATATAAGATATAAGCAGATAAGCAACTGCATATATGCTGCATAAGGTGGCTGTGCTATTTACAATGTGAGTGAGGGGGTGAGTCCAGATTTTCACGTGTGTGTATTCAGCAGCCTGACAGCAGTCATTTATTAATTTATTATGAAACTTCTGATAGGTCTGAGTATCGTAGCCACCTAGGCTTCGGCCCAGGTAAACCCGTTGGTAAAGGTGGGCCTAAGTATATGAAGTGAGCACTTGAATGAAGTTAAATATCTTTAAATGTAAAACTGTATTTGTGACATCATCCATCCATACATCTTTGATCCATCTGGAGTTGATGCCAGCTGACTTTGAGAGAAAGGCAGGTTATACCCTGACTGGTAGCCAGCCTATTTTATATGATATAATCACATTTATTACATTAACTATTGCAGTTCGATATTAATTTCAATTACAGTACTTACAAGATACATTTGCATTTTTATTTTTGTTGAAAAAAAATTAAGAGTGCATTTGAGTGTTGTTTTTAATTTTTCCCTTTTTACAACTCTACGAAATGTTGGACTGCCCTTCCTATCTTTCATTGTAATACAGTATTGTGCATTCTAAACAACATACTCCAGGCTCTTAAACGGAGCTACTAATAAAAAGAAAACACACACATTTTTCACAATACAATATTAATGTGAGCAAGTTTTAGCAATTTTCTCCTGACCAGAACAGCAAAGAGGACAAATGAGCAGTTTAAGGTGCTGCTAGGCTAGTCGATGTAGCAGCTGCCCGACCAGAGTTGTGTTGTAAATCAGTGCGAGCAGGTGCACACTGTTCGCCACTTAGTTACCTCTCACAGTCCCAATAGCTTACTGCTTTGTCCGCCGACCTGTCACAAACCATAACAGAACAATCTGGACAAAGAAATAGTTCTGGCAGAAGCAGGGTTGTTCCACCACATCATTTCCCTGCAAACTTTCAGTTTGGGCATCCTGGGGTTCCCAGATAGCCTCAGTACCTGGATCTTATATCAGGAATGCATTTTAATATAACTTATTTATCGTTCGTATACCACTACATCATCAGCCACTCGCATTTCCAACATGTCGCCTCTTGTTGTAATGGATTACTTCTACTTCTTTACTATATCTACTTCTTCTACTTCTATATACATATTTTATCATCACACACTTTTCTCTGGTGAAGTCGTGCTCCAATCTGATTTCTCGACACATTCTAAGTAAGGAGCAGTCGCTACTCTTGCATGACTTCGGTGTATTGGCTTGCTATTCACTGATGTTCGCAGTCATGTGAGTGGGAGGTTCTCGAATGCCCAGCGAGCGTTGGTCATCCATATTAAGTGACTGTTAAATGGAGCAAGCAGCATTCGTTGACAACCAAGGCAGCGAGGGAGGCAGAAGGCAACTTGTGTGTCAGTCTGGGGGAAGTGAAATGAAGCTCAGGGATTACTCCCTCAGACGCAACATGGCTGAGGCAAATTGAAAAGGGAGGGCTGGGGGAAACTCTGGCAAACAATTCATGTTTGTCACCTGGCGGTGCCCTCGTATAGGCTGGATTTTGTTATCAGTCGCCTGCAGTTTCTCCATCATTTTCCCATTGTTTTTCGGTGCGCCTCTGAAGCCCACCGTGGTTGCTCTGAGCGCTGAAAGCCCGCGGCTGGGTTGAGCGAGGAGCCACAAGTGCTTGGCTTTAACCCCTGTGAGCTTCATGTGTTCCACCACTTGAGAAGGAACTTGCGCTCAGCTTCGGCAGGTCAAACGTGGGAGGATTCTCACAGAGGACGGTTCAGTGGCTTCTGTCTATTGTTGGTGAGGTCAGGCCAAGGTCACTGTATACTTTCTAAAGACAGCCCCCATGATAATGTTTACTGCAGCTCTCCTGTGCCGTAAAGGGTTAAGCTGGAAAAAGAAACCCTTCGCAGCAGCAGCACACAGAGGCATGGAAGTTGACTGATTGAAAAAAAAAAAAAACTTTCTATAAAAGGGATTGAACTTGCCTGTACACTGAAAAACAAATCCTTTGAACTTACCTAATTAAAACATGTACAATAAATTGGTTGCACGTGATTAAAATCTGGTATGCGTGGTATATTATTTCATTATTTATGAGGAGAAGAGCGGAAAATTCGGTCAGTTTACACAGGGATGGCGACACACCGTGGCTAGGGGGCGCTATAGCCCCGTCAGAATCTCGGTCGCCCCAATTAAGGCCCTCAAACATTTTATTTGACATTTCATATTCTAAAATATATTCCTGAATTGTTTTCTCAGCCCCACTATTTACCGATCAAATCCTCCTTTAGCCTCAGGGGAGAAAAACTCTGGTAGTCGTCGAGTTTACTGCATTTTAATCGTGTGCAACCAGTGTGCATGGTCAACTTAAGCACTTTTTTTTCAGTGTAACAATTTCCGTTGATGAAGTAACAAGGGTCAAGTTTAACCATTTAAGAAAGAGGTATCACACTCATTTTCTTCAAGGGCCACATTGCAGTTATAGTTTCCTCCGGATGGCTGTTATGACTGTGAAACCATATAAATGTTTCATTTTTGACATTTACATCAGTACACAACAAATTGAAGGATCCTCAGTTTTGAAATCGGAAGTCAAGAATAATTCAACTTTTGTTTAAGTTACTGTAATGTAACAAGAAAATGGTTGCAACCTCAACCTTACCTGTTATATATGACAGTCTGAAATGTTATCCGGATTTTAGCAAGCATCATGGTCGTTGGCATTCTTGATTTGCTTTCGCGGGCCACATAAAATGATGTACGAGGCCAGAACTATTCCATCCATCCATCCATTTTCTGATCCGCTTATCCTCACAAGGGTCGCGGGCGTGATGGATTCCACTGAACATAGACCAAAATTGTCCTCATAACAGTCCCACTAACAGCGACAAATATCTCGCCCCACACACTTGGCTTTGGATGATTTTATCAATTACACTACAGAGTATTTAAAAAAAAAGGCATAAATTGTGTGGACATATGGTGATGGCCCAGCAATTAATATCTGTAAACACGGATTTTGCATGGAGATGAGAGGAAACCAAATGCGTTTGGTTATTTGGTTGCAGCTTGTGTTCTTAGTTTAAAAAAACCTGAGACTTAAGTTTTGCTTGCACTGACATTTGGCTGACTGTGTTTTTGAATGGAGTATCTTTGCTGCATGTTTGCCAGCTTCTTCTTCTCAGCTACAAGGTAAAATGGAAATGAGCACATGGATGTGGATTTTCTCATTGAACATGCTGCCCACTCAGTGAATTGCACTGTGACACAGAAAAAAGGGGGATTTTGATTGATTGAATTCCTTCCATTTCTTTCACAGAGTTCACCATACAGCTATCTCACACCCAGAAAAGTCAAATGAATCCCTATAAACTTTGAGTGGAGACTCGCGAAAAGAAAACGTCTTTTACAAAGAAAAAAAATAACTAGCATATTACTGTCATCCCTCTCAGTCAAACCCCAAACCCCCTTTAAGCTATCTGAGTGGAGCCTTTGGAGGACAGGATTAAAAATTAATATTGGCTCAGGATTGACAGCAAACACCATTTGATGTGAGCCACAAAGAGGCTGTGGGGTTGTGGGCAATTGACAAAGTACCACCGGCATCACAAATCCCAGTAAGAGGGACGAGATGGGATGGACAGGTTGAGGATCTGTGAGGCGCCCACAGTGGTCCATCGCCCTTCAACATGCATGGAAACTTTCTGCAAAACTATGCGGGACGCATACCGCTAGGTCGCCTTCCTCGGCTTCCACCTCTGCTGCTGTGGGCAGTGTCCTGGTTTGGCTCCTGATGTAGCACCTCTGATGTTCGGCAAAGCGGATCCCGGTGAGTCCCTTTGAAAAGAAGGAAGGGGGGAAAAAAAGCGTGCTCAGAAATTCAGAGATAACTTTCGTTCATTAACTGCCTGTGATGCGCATGTGCCGTTAGCACCCGGGTAGTTGTACTGTATTGCAAGGTGTCAATTTGAAAGGAGAATCAAAGCCGGAGGAATTCACATGAAATGCTTTCCTATGAATCTTATATTTTTTGTTTTTGTGGCACGTTATGAAACTGTTATCGTGTTCCCCTGTGCAACGGGGCACTCTAAAGAGCAAGAGATTGAAAAACATATTGGTGTGCCTTTGTTTGTTTTCTCAAGAATATCAAGTGTTTATAACAACAATAATACTATAGCAATCATATAATGTGTAACATAGCATTATGGTTGGTTCTATTTATGAATTAAGGGCAGTCATCAAGGTCACTTTAGATCAGCAACGTGGATTTTTTTTTCTGCATAGCTATAAATGAGAACGCACGGTAAAACGTTTTTACATAGTAAACTTAAAAGCAAAAAATGAAAATATCTCAAAAATCTGATGCGCAAAAAAAAAAAAAAAAAAGTGAAGCTATTTTTCAAATCAGCGTGAAATATATGGTTTGGGACACAAGGCGATCTCTGTTTAGAATCTCCTGTTGACCAGTGTAATGTGTTGTTCCGACAGACTCTGAAAGAGACTTTTATTTGAAAATATATTTATTGTCGTGGCGGTCATAGAACTTGACAGCATCAAGTTGAGAGAAATTGATGTCATGTTTTTCCCCCCCTCCTTTAGTTAAAAAAAAAAAAAAAAAATGGAGTCTCATTTGCGAGCTAACGTACTGTATATTTGCAGATTGACCCCAGTTCATTTTACTGGTACTAAAGAATTGATGAAACATGAATGTGCACAATAAGTTGCCCCCCCCCCCCCTATTGATTTAATTACTGTAACAAATATATAGTATTCAGAAAATGCGTTCTGGACATTCTACTGCCTGTAATGCTTTTTAAATCAATTTCCAGGCCTTCACTTTAGCAAAATCCATTTAAGGACTTTTTATGCTTTTTAATCACCTGCACAAACCCTGTGTACTACAGTAGGCCCTTGCTCCTCCATTTTTTTTTTTTTTTTTGCAGCAGCATGTTATGCAATCGCAGACCATTGACCAATGTAGCAGGGCTTCTGCTTTTAAGTGGAACAAGAGATAAATGACACGGGCGCTCTGCTGTGGCTGTACAACACTTCATAGCGTTTACGCCAGAGAGTTGAGTGACATGCTTGGAGAAAGAAGTGTTTTCTGCAGAGTGCCCCCATTGAATTAGCCAGTCACAGGTTGCTCTCGCCTCCTTAATCTGTGCAGTCAAGCGTGGAAGTCACTTTCTTCAGCCGGAGCAGTGATTCTCCACCGGGCGCTCTGTTCATCCTGATACGCCGAGCCTCAATGGGCACGAGTGAAAGAGAGAGATATTTTAATTCGCTCCACACTATTGTATGTTAATCTAACATATTCAGCCGAGACAGCGTCTGAAACACGTGCAACAAGATCAGATTTTATCCAATTTATTTCCTGCAGAGAGCTGCTCATTCATCACACTGTATTAGAACAGACAGCAGGATCTACATCTGCCACCGAATGGCACGGGCTGAAAATTGTTTGAGTGGTGCCATGAAAACGAGCCTGATTCTCTCTAAATTTAATTGCGGCAACCCGCCGATTGCTGTGACATCTCCTTTTCAATCAGTTATTTTGACCGTGTGGCCGCTGGGTCTGCATTGTGGATTTATTTGGCAAGGTGCCATCTCCTAGAAAACAGACAGAAGCCGCACATGACATGATACAATGTGAAGCCCGTTGTAATGTACCGGCTGTAATTTCATCTGCGTTGGGACAATAATAGTCTCAAGAACAGAAGCATGATGTTTATGCCTGGCTTTATTGTGATGAGTCTTTGTTTAATTTGGATTCGCCGTATCGGGGGTGGGGCGGGGGGTGTAGCGGGCGGGAAAGCAAAGGGCAATGTTGTGATGAGATACAATGATTACTGGGCTTGGCCAACCAGAAAATGAAGAAAGACACATTAACACACGAATGAGAAATGGAAAAGCGATGTCATTTTGAGAGATGACGCTCGGAAAGCGGGGAAAAGCAGTCCACTTGGTGTATCCATTTGAGAGATGCTCATCTGCGTCTATTCAAAAAGATGGAGGACATAACAGCATGCATCATTCAGCTCCTGTGAAGAAAGATCTCATGAAATATCAGCGAGTCTCGCACAGCCTCATTCTAAAAAAGTTACACTGCAGTAATTTGTATAATTCTTTTCAACCTATATTCAGTTCAACATTTGGGGAAGAAAAAAAAAAACAGTAAAAAAAAGGAGGTGCCACTCTGTTAATTCACACTATACTTCACCTCATTATCTAATTGGTTGTGTACCCTTGAGCAGCGCATGTACATTCACCACAAAAAAATATAATAACAATACAGTAATCCCTCATTTATCGCAGTTAATGGGGACCAAAACCTACCGCGATAAACGAAAATCCGCGAAGTAGCGACCAATAAACATATACAGGTAAAAAAAAAAAAAAAAAAAAAAAAATTTATATATATATATATATATATATATATATAGACAGGGCTTGGTCCCCATCCAGTGGTACATTAAAACTTCATCATGCTCAAATTATCCATGAGTGCAGTGAGAGTCAACTGGCTCAATGCCACATCATCTTTGTCTGGCGCTGCCCTACAAACACTGGATGCTCCATTAGGACGGGCTGGAGTCACTCAGTCTATCGTTTTTATGGACGATAGGCGTGTACCCGGCAGTATTAATGGTGCCGTCACAGATGCGTGAGTCAGCGCATCGATGCTGCGGGCGCCAACGCAAACCCTCGTAGAGCAAATGCTGACTTCTCAACCGAGTGGAGGAGCAATCCGGATGTGGCTTTTCCTCCTAGGCCCGGAGGACACGCCAGCCGTGAAGCGGGGAAACAATCTGAGACCATCAGAGCGCAGCACACATCTTCTGAACTCAACTGCACTTCGAATGTCACTTCTTGTGTGCTTCTCTGCACAGCAGACATGAATGTCACATGGTTTAAAGGTCACATGTTCAGTGTTGTTGTTTTTAACTCCCTCTGGGGAGATGTTTTCCTCCTAATTTTACATTTGATGCTGTTGTTGGACAGTCTTTCCCAAACTGGTGAAGGTTGAACCTCTCCATGACGCACTTGAAAAATTTCCCGCTGGGTTTCAGTTACATGGGAGATGTTGACAATCTTTGGACATCTTCTATTCATGATCAGGATGTATCATATTAGGGAAAAAAAAAAATCTCATTACGAACCAAACTGTAATCGTCAGCCTGGCAGTCTGTCGTGTTATTTTAACCGTGGCGTGGTTCTGTCATCACTTCTGTCAGTAAATTTTACCGGTCTGCTATTCTGCCACTCATCAGTTCAGAACCGCGTTATTGATGAAAATTCCAAGTACCTTACACTCTATATCAGTGTATCTACATGGCCAAAGAGCTTTACATGTGGTGTTGTGTCACACAACTATCATGACAAAATTCTTGTAAGCGCTCCCTTGTCGGACACACATTTTGGTGACAAAGATTGAGTTTCACTTGGTGCTGATGTTCTGGTCTGGCACGGTGTGTTTATTGACATGCACCTGGTACATCTGATCATTTGGAAGCAGAAATTGGCCTTATACGCTTGCCGGAAGCACATCTAAGTCTGCTGCAGTCAGTCGACCAGTGGTCTAACACGATTTGGGTGAATTTGATCGGAGCACAGGCAGACTTGTGTTTTCTGCTGCCCCACAGGCCAAGCACAGTCACGCATGTGTTGTTGCATCTTTTCTTCGAAGAAATGTCTCCATGCGAGGTGTGAGTATGACACATTTAAAGGGAATGAGAAGAAGCAACGCTTTGACTGGTGAATCAGGTTGGCCGTGTTCATACCCAGAGCGGCACAAACCACCTTTTTTTTTTCTTTCTTTTTTTAATGCACTGGCTTGTTTGTGTCTGCGACGGAACCCTGATGCCACTTAAGTCTACTCTGCAATGAAATCGACAGTTTTTTTTTTTTTTTTTTTTTAAATGATGTGGTGTGCACCTTTCAGTCATACTTTTTCTCACAGTGACAGTCTTAGGTGTGCGTACCAGCTACAAATTAAAATTGCAGCATTCTTTTTGTCCTGTCCTTGTCACGAATTTACAGTAAGTTTCAATGCAGCTTTGCAAGACGGTTTCAAGAATTAGGATGCTGCTTCTTTGCTCTCAGGATGTGTTTTTCATCTCTACTATTTTTGTGTCATGAATTGCTTTGGAAGATAAGCAGCTGAAAATCATGTGCAGCTCAGAGTTCTGGTGGCAAAAAGCCCAAAATGCCCTCGGGCTTAATGGAGACCGTGTCTGGACTGGCCAAGTGTGGTCCTTTTCAATGACAAGCAACAGCCCCCTTTTTCTTTTTGTTAGGAATCAATTTTACCATCAGCACACAGCTGCCTCTCAGTGTGTTTTATTCCACCTCCTTCCCATTCTTCTTTCTTCCACTCAGAATAAGGTTTGAATTACTGTGCTTACTAGCTTGTTACTTAGTCTTTCATGGAAGAGCAGCGAGTCTCCTCAGGGGATTTGCTTTACCAGCGTGAAGTGGAACAAGCAACAGGCTTTTGTTTGTGTGTGTGTGTGTGTGTGTGTGTGTGTGTGTGTGTGTGTGTGTGTGTGTGTTTGTGTGTGTGTGTGTGTGTCAGGTTGGTGAGAGAACAAAGAAAGCGGAAAGATAAAGAAATGGGGAAGGAGAAGTCGTGTTACCATTCTGCTGGCCACTGTAGCCAACGACAAGTAAATATGTTTGTTTTGATTCGAATTGAAGATTTATCTATAAACATTTCACGATAAATGATTAATGATGTAAGAATAATGGGTCTTACCAGAAAGTTGAGCATGAGGCTTCCTTGTCTGGAGTACTGCTTCTGCAGCCTCCTGCACACTCGGGCAGGATTTTGAAATGAAAGGTAAGCTAATGAGTTTTGCTGGAGACAAAATTACGACTGCAAAAGCTGCTGCGTGGAACAAATGGAGATGGGCTTCTTTATGGTGTTTGTACCACAAACAACCTGCTACCTTAGAATTAGTCTTTTAGGAAAGAACAAACCCTCTCTTGGGGCTGTTGTGAGTGCCTTTAAACAGTAAATCCGCTCTTCTAATGACTGTGTGTTTAGGCGGTCATTACCAGAATTTGTGGCCATTCTCTCATTCATTATCTGCACCAATTATCCTGTTTGGAGGGAGCTGAAGGCATTTCTAGCAGAGAGAAGGGACACGCCCTGGCCGGGGCAGACAGCAAATCACGTTAATTTTTACACGGGCACTCACACCTGACCTGCATCTTGTTGGTGGGGTATTGCAAAGTGTTTCATTTGGCCTTCAGATCTACTGCCCTACATTTGTAGTATTTTAAGTTGTTGTCCCGCTAAGTCCCAGTCTGTACTCTTTCTTTCCTCTTTGTCATCATCCCGATTTTCTTCTTCATGTTAACATACTCTTCTGGGTGTAGTGGCATCAAGTGAAAGAACAGAACAAAACACACTTGGAAGATATTTTAGTGTCATTCACGATGGCATTTTAACCTCTGCAGTTTTTTACAACTATGTCCGGCTATTGTTTCCAAATTGTAAGACTTATCAAACATAGAACTCTGGAGGCTCTACTGTACTGTATAAGGAAGAAGCTTATTCCGTTGAAATACCTCACATAAGCTGGTCCACATCAGAGTTTTACCACCCACAAGTTCAACAGAAGTTACAAAAAATGTTTTGTTTGTTGCTGGTATGCCACTAATCCTCAAGGCAGGATCATTTTGTTGTTTTGGATTGACATTGCGATATGATCATTTACATAGCAACTGCCAGAAAAAGAGTAGGCTGTAGTTTCCTTACAGCAGCAGCGACCCAAATTAGTCGCATTGCGCTGTGGTCGATGCTAACACTGTAGTCAAGTCATAATCACAGTAAAGTCATAATTAAAAAAAAAAAAATCTTGGCCATGGACTTCCAGTGTGGAGTTTGCGTGTTCTTCCCCCATGCCTGCGTGGGTATTCTCCGGCTACTCCAGTTTCCTCCCACACTCCAAAAACATCCATGTTAGGTTCACTGAACGCTTTAAAATTGTCTGTAGGTGTGAGTGTGACTTTGGACTTGCGTCTTGAGACTTAAAATCTGCGTCGTATTTGTGACTTGCACATATGTGACTTACTCCCACCTCTGCTGCATACCCGTTGTGGTACTCATACCACACTTTGAGAATTACTGATCTAGATGATGGTTGATACAGCCAAGAACATACTACAGTTATGCTTATTGTGAACAATTATTTCAGTACCTGGCCAACAGGTACTGAAATAATTGTTCACAATGACTCTTTCGCAACGCTAACATGTAAATATGATGATCATCACAATTTCCCACATCTCCGCTGAACGCTCATGTTTATCCCTTCACTCACATGTTGAAAGTCATGAACCTCGAGAACCTCCTGACTCCCATTTCCAATTCGAAAGATTTCAATCTGCTGAATCGGGTCGATTTCCATCAGGCCGTGTGTCTCGACGCCATCCAGCACTGCTTTGTACTCGTGGTCGTAGACCTAAAAGGATGGAAGGATAATCAGCACAAAATTGCACGCCAATACTACCCGGGTGCATTACGGATACAAATAAAAAGCCTAAACAATATGACAATGTTAAAAATGCATCTTAAAAAAAGGTGAATGCGATTATTGATCGGTTTTCTTCAAGTATCTAAAATAAATAGTAAAAAGGGTTCTCTTCACTGTGGCCCTAAAGCAGCGCAGACACGCTTGCATGGCAGTTAAAATTCCCTCTTTGAAAAACGATTCATGCCCAGCAGCCAAAAATATGCCATCAATATTTATGCGAAGGTTGTGTTTGGGAGGAGAAATATATCGCCGAGTCCATCTTCATCTTTCTCCACCAATGAGACACATTATTAATGAATACATTCAAACAGGACTCCGCCAGGATTTATGTACATCAGACACATCTGTCCTCCAATGCACAAAGACAAAATTAGCTTTCACTTTACGCTCTCCCACGTGTTCATTATTTTGCGTCTGCCTGCTTACATGCTGTCATCAGAAGCCTCTTTTGTCTGGTTAGAGAACAGTAGTGTGATAATGGGATATCATTTTTAATCACGGATCACTGTAAGAGTCGCATTGGCCTATAAATTTCCATTAACACGGGTCACAGCAGCATCCAGGAAGGGAAGTGCAACTTAAAACTGCCAGCAGAAGCCAAATGAAGATGGCTTTGAAATCTAAGTGTCAATTGGGCCATTGTGGATAAAGTCGAGGCTATTAGGTAGCCCGCAAGTCTGTGTGGGGAATTAAACTTCTATCTTTCCATTCTTTTATTTTAGCATAAATGTGCAATTGGGAGCTTTATTGATTAACACCGAAAAACAGTGCATTACTTTTTCAGCACGCTATCACCTCTGATAAAGATAAAACAGTGAGACTATGCCCACCTCTCTGGGCTGAAATATATGGTGTGACTTCCACTGGTTGACAAACCAAAGCAGCTGCTGCTGCAACATCATTGCCATTTGAAAAAAAAAATAAATCAAAATACTTTTTGGACACTTGCAATGTGCCTTTGTGTGCGTGTGTTTGTGCGAAAAACAGCGAGTGAGCTGAGCTGAGCTGCAACAAGTGAAAGTTCTAAGATGATGCACTACCTTGTCTCATTAAAGATGGTATCAGTTAAAATTAGTTGAAGTGCTGGTTCTCATTATTTCCATTGCAGTACTGAAACTATATCCACTAAAGTTCCGAATATCAAATGTCACCGAGCTGCAAGACATTTATAAAGCACCGTGAAAATTAATTAGCTTCACAGTGCAGGCGCATGTAAAAAAAATCACAATAGAGGTGAATTTGGCCCTAAAGCCTATATGGCCCGAGGGAAAACAGTGGTTGGTGTGACTAGGTGTTGTTTGATGAGCTATAACCGATATCATCATGGTTCATGGTAGATGTCTTTCCCTCAACATGTACCACCTGCAAAGTCGATGTGGGATCCGTACAGCTAAAGTTTACCTTAGCGTTAACAAAGAAATTGCTATTGTATGCAGTGCGGAGCATTCCATTCCATTAAAACTGTCAACATTGACCGATAAAATTGACTGGATACTCCTTGAATGTATCATTATTTATTGGTGGCAAAAAACATGCCTAATGTATGTGATACATTTTTTTTAATGTATTCAAAAGGCTCGAAACACTGTTTGTCGTAGTTACAGTTATATTTGTGGAGTGTAAAAAGACTCTAAAGCAAGTAAGACGAGTAGGCCATAATTAACAGTGGGTTAATTTTTACATGCGACCCTTTTCCCATTACTTGAGCCCTTTTGACTTATAGTTAATTACAAAATTCATCCGTGTATTCATTATGTACAGTAATGTGTGAATGATGTATTTCCAGACATCCCGAGCACATTTGGCTGTATCTCCTTCAATAAACTGTTTCCAAGGAAACCGTAGTGAAAAACGCAATTCGATGGACGGGGCAGCTCTCTGAAAATCACATTTCATCATTTTGGGGGATTTTGACAGTCTCCTAATTCAATGCACTGCCACTTTTTCATAACAGAGTCTAATCCGAGGTTCAGAGCAGAACCCCTGTTGTCAAGTGTCAAGTGAAAAAAAGCAACTGGTAGGAATGAGCAGTTCTTTTTCATAGAGGTAAAACACATTTAAATTCATGTTGTTGCCCGAAGTAAATGTCTTTTTATTTATTTATTTTTTTTAAGCACAAATGCCATTCTTTCTTTTCTATTATTCTCTTGTACAACCTCCTCTCATCACACGCCGACTTCAGGGAAAGTATATCAGGCGATCCATGTCGAAGCCCCCGCACAGACTACCCTGTTTATTCACACAAGGTTTCCGTCTGACGTGCTTCTTAACAGCGGTGAGATGCTTTCTGCCACGACTCACATTGAAAGCAACGAATGAAAAGCGGCAGGCGCTGCCAAACCTGCGGGTTGTTTGTGCAAACAGGTTGCGGTAGTGCTCAGCCCGCGGACATTAGGAAAAGGTCGTGTCGATGTTGTTACAGGTGACTGGATCGCTGGGTGCATAAATGCACGTGTGTGATGCCAGGCGAGAGACATTCTGCATATGTTCAGCGATGGGGAAGGCGGTGGCCGCGCGAGTGAGAGAGATGAGTTGATGACAATATGTCCTCTTCGTTGTCCTTGAGGGGAAGGAGATAGAGGCTGCAGTCAGGCGGAACTAGATGCCTGTCACTCACCGCAGGCGGCTGGCGGCGGAGGCACTGGCGGTGGGTGTAGGGCAGGCAGCAGTGGGAGGGAAAGGTGGCGCGGGGGCAGCGCAGTGCATCGGGGCCCCCCGGGAGCCATATAGGCAGCCGTGTGATGGATTGAGGTGGGCAGCAGCTTAGACAGCTACACCGGTGAACATTGTGTCCTTTTGCGTTCAGTCCTTATATGGTCTTTTCTACTTTTTCCGCACAACTCGCTTGTCGTTGTCATGCTACCCGACAACTTGTGGAAAAACAAGCCATAGCAGATTTTCTATACAGCAAAACCTTAAAATTACACAGGGGGGTTGGATACATTCTAGGCCCACCTGATACAATTGAAAATCTGTGATATCGAGAGATCGTCTATGGAAATTTCGTTTGTTTTACCCCCTCCCACACACTTT